GTAGACCATATCGACCAGATTTAAAATTAAATTCAGCGTTAAACGCTATGCTTACTTCCTCTTCAAAGGTCAGAGGCTGGACACGAAAAAATCTGTCCTGGCGACCCCAGTACGAAGTCCTTTCATAAAATGGTTACTCGGACTTCCTCTGACAGAGGAAACTGCTGCATTCCAGCAATAAGAGTTTTCAACTCTTGGACATTACCCTTAAGCTATTTTTTGTTCTATCTAATCATAGTCCGACAATTCTTCCTTACCATGCCGGGTATCTAAGAAGCGTGAGTGGACACGATAAGCCTGATTAGGCTGTGGCTAAACGACAACAGAATAGTCAGCCGCGAATAGTTGGGCGTAATCGCCGCTTCTATTGGGCGCCACCTATGTTGGTGGGTGCGAGTGGGAACACACGCTTCCTCGTTGGAAGGTTGTTGGCCCACCGCCATGTGAAGCAAAAGCTTTAGATCCTTGTCCAGTGGAAAGGATACCCGAAAAGTTTCGACTCTTGGGAAATGGTGTCGCATTGCGAGTCGACGTTCCTGGGCTGATGGCTGCTTACAAGCAGAAGCACTAGCTGAATTTGCTCTGCTAGATCCTGATGGACTAGAAGGGGCAGCGTAGCGAGAAGGAGTTGGGGGTATATTATCACCCAATATTTTCCTCGCACGCGTCATAGCGAAACTAATTGGCTGCGACTGCTGTTTCACTGCATCTGTATGCGGTTTGACACGGCGCAGGAACTCCTCCTCGTATTCGTCGGTTGTTTCGTGAGAACGCAACACGATGGGGATAGGTATTGCACGACCTAGTGCTTTGCTCTGCCGTTCCCATGAAGGAAAGACGCTAAAAAGTTTATTAGCGTCAATTATGGCACGCCTTAAAAGTGTCGCACTATTTGCACGCCAGCGTGGCCACTCGGATGGCAGTGCTGGAAATCCATCACTCACGTAACCGCCCTCGCTACGGCGTTCTAGTGAGGCCGACTGTGAAGATGAAGGTTTTTTTTCTTCTCCTCGCCTAAGTCTGACTCTCCATTATATATTGTCAAGGCATCAGACGTAGGGTTGACCGAGGCAGAAGATTTGGAATCGCGGACCTGCTGTTGAGTCGCGGCTGTTTCTTTCAAAGCAGCGCGCTCAGTTGTGGTCGCTGCGCTCGTTGGTGTAGACGACAAGGCATGACCCTCGCTGTCAGGAAGCATGGAAGCTTCCTAAAAGGTGGGTGTCTCAAATGATGGGGACAAATGTCCCATCATAGCACTGCCTGTGCTCCTCACCACTTTGGGGTGAAGGCAATGGCGTACTCTCATTGTAGTCAACAATGCGAGACAAGTCTTTATCCGCACCAAAGTGCGATGTACCAGTGCTCTCTGCTGGCAAGTTGTCGGCGATGTCACAAAGACACTTATCGACGGCTGCGAATTATCGCGACGCGTGAGCTTTGTGCTGGTCTGCATGGGCGCCTTTGCAGGCGACCCATAAGCCTTTCCACGTTTTGGTGACATCGTCTCTTTATTCGATGTTTTACAAAATGTAAAAATCGTCTAAAAGAGGGGGATGGTGTATTGAGTTAAAAGTTACACGGTTCGTTAAGTATCGAATACTTAACGGGAAGGCCTAAATGGGTACGATGTACCTTATGACTGCCACTTGGGTGTGGCACATCAATGTAATGACCCTCGTGAATGTGATATTCATGGATGGATCCACATTCAACGAGGATGACGCCAGTTGGGACTAGCATCATGGTGACGCTTCAGACAGACGTCACCATCGAGCTAAAATATATAGTAAGCTCGCACGTAAGGATACGCTTTTAAAGAGACGCGTATTTAATCTTTGCATAATTAACCAATCAGTAGTTAAGTTTATATTTGGTTTAAATCTATAAAGTATAAGTCAGTTTTGAATCTACTAAACACGCACACTACGCCCGAGAAGCTTAATAAGCTTCTGCGTGTCGTAGCAGCTCGTTGCGCGGCTCGCTTGAAAGGAACCGACAACGGTTGGTGCAGCGCTTCTTAGCACCGACCAACACCACCACCGCACGCGGAGATAAGACGGTATAACCGCTTCCTCGCGCTGCTGGAAGGTGTGCCCGCGTAGTACGTGGCAGCTTCTTTACGAAGTGCTCGTTTACAAAAAAAAACTAAATTAATACTAGAATTTGACGAATTAATTGGCACGTATTCCAAGAGGCAAAGCGTACACTACTACAATAGGACCTGTCCAAACAGATACCTGCGAGATCAAAGGTTTTATCAGATAACGAAGGCTATCAGCTAGGCCAGTTCTACATTAACTATATGGTCGATCTCGGGACTAATAATTTCTAGCAGCTTAAACTGGTTCTTATAAAAGGCAGTAAAATTTTAGGCAAATTCCACTGTATTCATAACGTATGCTGACTAATTTGCTGATTTTATTATTCGATCAAATTTATTAATTAATAAACTAATGGCTGATATTTGTTGATATTGTGTACCATAACCGATTCGTCATTTAATTGTTACACATACGAAATAAGAGAGTTTTTATTAATTTTTACCCAGTTGTTTATGCTGTGTAGCCTTCAAGGTCGTATACATTTCACACGTCTTTTCAGAATATACTGGGCAAAAACACCGTTATATCATATGCTCATAAGTCAGCGGCAAGGGTCCAGAATAGCAGCTTAAAAGTAGTCCGAGCAACTTTTTGAAAAGTGTTAGCGCCTTAAATGGCTCCTATAGTTTACCCGGAGATGGCTAATACGAAATACAATGAACTTACGAGTGCGGAGATATCGTCACGCACCGAATATGCACTCGTAGGCTTACTTTTAGCCGACAAGTGCAACTGCTGCAAGTGCAACATTTCAGAAGATTATAGTTTACTTGAACCATTATGGCTCCAGATCTCATTGTTTTCGTCCTATTGTTTGATATTGTAGTTTCACGCTTATTATCTAGAACACCTTATAAATGTATGAAAGACGTCGACAAGACGTCAATGTCAAGTTAAGTCGATGCAGTGCCTAGGCCACTTCAGGTCCCCTAAGACTTCGATAACCTCACCACGATTTACGGTACGAAAACACACGAGCTGTCCATGTAGGATCGAGTATCGCTTTAAAAACTTTGACAATACACTGCCAACTGAACAATGATGTGCCGTTGTATCAAACTATTTGAATTTTGTGTTTGCATGTCCCAAGAAATCGCTCACTTCAGCAAATATGCAAATAGTGATGTGCGCTACGACCAGTCTCATCTGGTACGTTTACACTCCACAAACTTTTTTTACCGTTTATACAATACATTATTTTACGATCCAGACACAACGTCGAGTTACTGGTAGAATTCGTGCTCATACAGCTCTTAATGAAAGCTGGAGCCGTGCCCAGGTTGTCGAAAAATTTTGCGGCGTCATCATCACAAAAAACACCTCAAACGCGCACGTGGTGATCCACACAGCCATAGATTGCGTCGACGGCATACCACTGGGATTCCTTAATTCCCATCACGCAAATGGCATCTTTACCCGACGCAGCTTGCTCCTAGCCACACACTATTCCGCCGGCTTGTACGTGCAGACACTGCTACTGTGTTCGTGCGTACTCGCCTGGACAAAAAAACGGGCGCAGACCCGGAAAGCACAAGCCCGTGTCCTGAACCTTGGGGTAACACTGCTTGACCGTATCAGTGTTGACACGCGTCGTCTGGAGCGGCTCACCCTGGCAGCCGTCTGCTTGCATCCCCTTCGTATCTTTGCAGACATCCAAATGCCCCATGACCTTCTTGGACTTGGCCGCGACTTGCTGGCTCAGAGCCAAAAGAGTGCGACCCTACATCCAAAAAGGCTTGCAATTTTTTAGATGTGAGGTCACACCCATTTGGTTCTTAGCTGGCAAGGATACGTGCTTCAATTTGGTGTGCGAGTGTGGCGAGGGCTGGAAAGACCTACATCACGAAGGAGAAGAAGTCCTTGAATTAATGTCAAGCAACCTATCAAACAGCAAGGCCTCCGCCTTCAGCGGTGTCCAGTCATCTCTTCCAATGGACTACGTCGCTATAGGCGTTGCTACCATTCTTGCTACTGTTCTCTTTCAGTAGACACTTCTATCACAATGTCGAATAACATAGCTGTCTAACGCTCTAAGCCACTCACTCCTTGTACATACAACGCTCCTCAATTTCTAAGAGTTTCGGTGCTAATTAGGAGATGTCGTTGCTGGTGTTACCAAAGTTGTTTTTGGATAGCCATAAATATAAATGCCGATTCGTCGCATCGGTACCGCTGCAGACAAGATGCCTTCCAATTCTATGGCAAGTATCCGTTCGTCGAGCCAACGGTGCCATATTCTACTGATTCTAATGTTAGCATTACGATCAGAAAGTATGTGAAATGGTAGAAACAGTTCAGCAATTGGTATAGTGCATCTAAGGTCAGCTTAAGTGTTGTTGACTCAAAGTTGACCCCACGAAACGGCGTCTTATCGGATGCAATTTATCAACTAACCAACACTCTCTCGTGCATAACATACTGGTAACTTCGGCCCTTCCCCGTAAGCTGAGAGCTGACAGGCGTATGTGATGCAGTGCAAGTAAAACACTAGTTTAATGGTATTTATTTTCCAGTGAACTTCGATCAAGTGTGGTCGTCATTCTTGAAATCCTTTATCGTGACACAATCAACTCGGTCCAAACACCTGGCTCGACTTCACTGATCCGGTCTCCGTTATACTTTGACTCGACCATCACCATATATTTTTCCACTCGAAGCCAAACGAAGTTTCGTCGTCAAGAACAACCATAAAAGACACTCATTGTTGTCATGGTTGTTTCTGAACGAGTGCGATTGAGTCGAATTATTGCACTTGTTGGCTACTGTGTCTTGTGCTGCCTTTGCCTCCTCTTGCTCGTCTATTTGCGCAGGAACCGACATGTTGCTTTCAAAGGTGACGCTCAAGCTACACGCAAAGTCATTCTACCGGCTTATGAGCCTCTATTGTGGCTTCTTGCCATGGTCACTGGAGCACTTGCAGTCCTCTTCTGCATTGCACTCAGTACCGACATGTACACGTCAAGCTTTACGAGTATCCACGGCGAGATATTTTATGCCGGTCGACAATTTGTCTTTGTAGTTGCGCTTGTCTTTCTTTGCCAGAAAAGTGTCTCGGTGCCAGCTCTTCGTCGTGCTGTGGTCATGTCCATTTTTCTCGCTTCGTACACGATTCCACTTATGCGGATAATTGTCTTCTTTGCACCACAAAACATGGCGTTGTTTTACTACGTACGAACTGTGGCACGCGTACTGGTGCTGATTTTCGTGGTCAACGTGTGCTTCATTAATCGACCGGCAGGTCGTGCAAGTCCATCAAGTCTGCGCACCTACGGCGCATATGTTATCGTGTACCACATGCTCGTTGCCGTCGGCACTTTGACTCAAATGTACGCGCTAGAGTCTAGGATGCATGCGGCAACAATGTACTTGATGCTTATCTGGGGCTCGATCACACCGCTTGTCATTTGGAACTTGCTGCGTGCCGACACTGAATATTGGCGGGGCATGGGCCAACGCGCATGCGACCTCCAATTACTTAGTCTACCAGATTCTTACATCCAACTGGACGAGTGTATCTCGTCGGACAGAATTCATTCTCTTATCGAAATGCACAAGGATTTCGTGATTGATTTTGCGCATCTCAACCTTCGGCAGAAGATCGGCGTGGGGTCGAGTGCGACCATATTTAGTGGACGACTACAACCGCGATGTCCTGTCGCCGTGAAAGTTTACGCACCGTATCGGCTCACAGAGGAAGTAGTGGCTGAGTTCTCACATGAGGCAGCGCTCTGCGCTTCATTGATTCATCCAAACATTGTTAAGTTCTACGGTATGTGCGTGTGCCCTCCAAGCATTTGTTTGGTATTTGAGCTGTGCCAAGGTTCTCTCGAAGACATATCATGCGCTCAAGCTCAGGCACGAAGTCAACGCCGTGATACACGTCATCAGCTTGGTCTCACCGGTAAAGTTAAAGACGCCCAGACTCTTGATCACCAGCAAATGCTCGTCAATGTGGCATACATGCTTGACTGTGCACGTGCTGTCGCTTATATTCATAGCTTCTCTCCACCGTTCTTGCATCGTGACATTAAGACCGCCAACTTTCTCGTGGATAACGAAAACAACGTCAAGCTCACTGATTTTGGTGACTCTAGGCGTTTACCCGAAAACATACTGAAGCCTGGAAATGGCAATGACATCAATGGTAATGAATCGCAGACGTCTGCAGAATCAAGCGGTTTTTTTAGTCCCGTGATAGTTGCATCAGCTCCTCCACCGATCAAAATGACAGTGACGGGTACTGTGAATTACATGGCTCCAGAGATGATTAGCTGTCGTACGGGTCTAGCCAGCTACGGTGCCTCAGCCGATGTCTATTCGCTAGCCATTACATTTTGGGACATTTTGTATCCTGGTCGCAAGAAATACGCCGCGACGAACCCGTTGTTTGTGTTTGAAGACGTGTTAAATGGTTGCCGTCCGCCATTAGATGCCACGGATTCTGCAAACCCCGACGCGACAATCCCTAAAAGAATTCGAGATATCATTACAAGTTCCTGGCATAGCGATCCAAGCGCACGCCCGACCATGCCTCAGATTGTTCGCACGCTTGAATGCATCCAGAAAGAATTGCTATCAGTATTCGTTCAGGATCGAAGCGACGATTTTAAACGACCGGAAACCGGGTATCATGAGATTACCATGTAATTGGTGACTCTTTGATCTTGAGCAAGGAGAATTTGTCCTTCGCATACTCACGTGGCGAGAGCGTGTGGCTCGGTCGTAGATGGCGGTCTCTTGCACCATATTTATCAGGAGCGAAGTTTCAGCGACAGCGATGCCATGGATTGTTCGAAGCTCATAACAACGATCGCGGACACCCGCAAATTGTGCTAAAGCGGTCACAACGACTGAGTTCGACGACGAATCATTCCTCAACATGTGCACCACTACATATTCGTAGAAGCTCTAAGAAGCCAAATTTATCTAGGCTGTTTACACGGAGACTTCATAGTGACTTGATGCAGTAGTTCATGGCGAATCCATACTCAAGCCAGAAAGTCGAATTTGCTGGAGCAGCAAGTGTTGCAGGGCTTTATCCAGTAGACACGGAAAAGAGGGAGTAACTGCCTTGCATGCAAACTCTTTGACATATTTGAGACCTCACGAGACACAAAAAATCGAAAGACTTACAAGACCGGCGACGACGATCATGAGGAGAAGTAGTATATTTGAAAGCAGCTTGCCGGTAGGAACAACCTATTTCGAGTAGAACGACAATTCCGTTTCGTTTTGCGTCACTTCGCCGAACGAGTTCTCGGCTGTAGCTTCGTTGAATAAGATAAAATCACGGTCTTTACCACCGTCCATCTTGAAGAGAGGACCCACTGATATCAAATCTCCGCCACTGAACCTTGTACGATTACACTTGTTTAACGATAACCGTCGAATACTCTGAGCAAGTTCGGATGAGAGAGCCATCGCCGATGTGCATCGTTTCATCACGGTCGGTGTTAAATCCACAGACCGTGATGATGGTACTGATGGCGTAGCCTTTTTCGTTGGACGGTAGATCTCCACAGTCGGTAACTCCTCATCAAAGAAGGTCTTGTACAACTCCAAGCTCTCCGCGGGAACCGATGCTTCTCCGGTTTTCACAAGCTTCTTGAGATCCATTGATTCTTCAAATTTCCTAAAGGTTCATGATGATACACAATCGATGTAAGGCACGCCGCAAGCAGAATTCCACTCAGCCATGAGCTTAACGTACTTTCGGTCTTCAGGATCAGTTTTCAGCTTTTTCGCAACCAAGACTCGAGCCTTCACATTCTGGTCCAGCCCTGAGTATGGACCAACTTGAAGCTTAAACGTCGCACCAGCTCGAGTTTGTGCTTCACGAAGGCTCCGAGCATCATCAGGACTGATGCGATTGTTTCGCATGTACGCCTCAAAGTACATCTTGACACTCTCATTATCACTTTCCCATATCTGCGGTGATTCCTTTCCAAGCACGTACCTGTACCAAGCAATTATGTTAAGTGAGTGCAGTGCTACCTCAAACATACATAATGACGTTTCTTACTGTTGGTAAACTGGGTCTGGCGCAGGTTTGGAGCAACTGCCAACAAACTTGCGACGCCTGTGCCCAGCGAAAGCAAAGATTAATCAGTACCAAATCATAAGTATGACGTTTTATCGACCCAATGCGAGGAGCTATTCAAATAGCAGGTACACATGAACGTACCCTTTGCTAATGACGTAGTCTTCGATGCTGATGTGGTCGTCTTTACGTTTCGCAGCATTCTTGAGTACTGCAGATCCATGGCCTTTATGCTGGTTAGAGGCATCCGCTAAACTAGATCGAGAAGCGTGATGATACTCAGAGGCAAGGATACCCGTGCGATCATCCTGATACTCGTGCTTGCGCTCACGTCCACTATCGCGCAATCTACGACTGGATTGGGGCTGAGGGCCCACATTTTCTCCAGCATCTAGAGCACTCAAGCTTCGATAAGATCTAGTGCTTTCCTTCGTTTGTCCTCGCCGATTAACCTGCTCAACATCGGAGAGATTTTCCTCATCAACGCGTGTTAAGCCGGACAGAGAGGATGATGATGGAGCGGATGTTAGATGTGCTACAACAACGCTTTCGGAGCGTCTTTTATCTTTTTCGTTCATCTCGTCAGAAATCTCCATCGGGAGCATGAATTTGTACCCCAGGACCTTGTCGAATGTTGTCAATTCCTCAGGATGATACATGTGAAGAAAATCGTCAGAACACGGAGACCGAGGTGACCCTTTCTTGTTCCCTGCATCAGGTTGCTTTGTCTCACGTGAGCCACTTAAAAGCTCGCGCTTGCTCCCTTTTCGCGCAATCTGGTCACACGTACAAGACACCTTCTCCTCCATAGGTGGCAGATAATACTTTGGTTTCTCAAATGCTTCCAGCGGCTCCTTCCACCAGTCATCGAGCACTCGCCTACACTCGCGAATATAAGCATCACGCTTGGCCTGGTCGCGACTCGCCGAAACAATTGCGCGTCCGCGCGTAGATTCATTGTCGATGCTATCGTCGCTGCCATCTTCCAAGGCTTCCGATGACGAGCAGCATGATAGTTGCGTTGGCGGCATACCATACAGTTCACCAAACGCTATTCTTTTGTTTTCAGCATGAAAAGAAAGGTCGCGACGGACGTTGTCGCATGCAGCCACACCATTTCGGACCTCAAAATTGTGCAGATAGTAGTCCGAATCAAGTTCCCATAGTGGAGGCGAATCTTCTGTAGGCACGAAGTGTCCGAGAAAAATGTTGATCGCATCCTGTTTCGCTGTATCAGTAAAAGAGTTACTGTAGTAGCGTCGAATAGATGTCAGAAGCTCGCGATGCTTTACATTTTCCCTAGCTGCGCTATTTTTTACATTTTTGTGAGCTTCCGACCCACCGTATTGCATCGAGATCGCGTCCCCCATGAGAGAATACAGCTTCATCAGAACCAGAACTAATTGTGACCGACTTTCCAACAGTGGCGTATTCTTAATCCCCATCACATAGAGCTGCTGACCCAATGCGCGCATTCCAACACTGAATTGACTGACGTTAGTGCGATCCAAGCAGTCGATACAGTTTGTTCGAAGAATGCCTCGTTGTTCCAGCCATTCTCCAGAATTTTTTGTAATAGTAGGAGATGGCGGTGGATCGACTGAAGCCAATTCCTCACTCTCTTCTCCTTTCGATTGAAGGTTACTTGATGTGATGAGTGAATCCCATGGTTCACTTGGAAAAAACACTTGAGCCGTACGCATATTACCGTTCTGACAAATTTGTCGCTTCGGTGCACTACAGAAGAACCCAGTCTGTGTGAGGGCCCATACTGCTACCTTGTCCAGTGAATGCAGTACGTTAAGACCTTTCTGCTTAGGCCCAGATAAGCGAGAATAATCCAGTGCCACATACCGCACGCGGTGCTTTGGTGGCATGAAGCTGTTAAGGTATTCCACAGCATTCATATATTCGTTGCCCACAATGACTTCCCGTTCCTTTTTCTCCGACTGCTTGACAAGGTTGAGCGCTACGATGGGCGAGCCATAGCGCGAGAAGAGGTCTGCAAAGTGTTTTTGCGTCGAATTATACGTTGGATCGACACGGTTTAACACGATTGGCGGCTTCGGCAGTGTTGCAGACGTCTCCTGCGACCAAAATACAGGAATTGACCCACGATGCTGTACGAATGAACTGAACTTGCCAGGACCCATGCTCTCATCTTCAATGATCTGCTCCGTTTCGACATCGTTTGCAGCCTTGCCGGTATCGGCCACACCACGTTTCAAGTAGCGCGTGCCAGCAAAGTGACGGGATCGGCGAGCAAGTAGTACAATGCTCACAAGGCGGCCAAACACTGAACATTTACGCTGCTCGTAGCAGCCAAGAACAAGCGGGACAATTAGATCAGCTGCAGCGCCACCACTTAAGCAAGTGCTTAATTCTCGGGTCAAATAGTAATTCCACGTGAACATCTCAGCCGGCTCCGAGTGTTCCGTGGTCATATTGTGCTGCAATGTATGCGTGATATCGTACGAGTAACTGAAGTAAAAATCCTTTGTGAGATCCAGAAAATGAAACAGGCCAAGGTATCGAGCCTCTGCTTCCTCTTCTGGACTAGGATTGAACCATCGATTGATTCGATTCCACGCCGTCTGGTCTTCTACGGAGTGACTTACATTTAGTTGCTGTGTGGCTGAAATACCGTAGATCGAGTTGCCTCCAATATTCCCGATCTTCCGTCGTTGCGTGACGAATATGAAGTAATAGCCGCGCAAAAAGCGAATGCACCCGACAATTGCTACAGCCGTAAACGCCCTTTCCAAGTTGCCTGTGCCTTGAATACGCGCATGCTCCGCTAGTGTTTGGAGTCTTGCTTCCATCTGTTCCCAATCATAAAGCTTTTCATCTTCCTTCAACACTTGCTCTAATTTTTTTGGTCGTTCCACCATCCGATCCAACTCAATCATTCTAAAACATGAATAATGGCGATCCGAGCACACAATATAGAGCGTCGACGGCGTTTCATAGACCGTAAAGCGTTCAAATAATGTCTCACACGTCGCCAATGCTGGTTTTCGTCGTCTCAGTGTCGGTCGCCCCAGTCCGGCCCCACTTGACGTGTTTCCATTAGCAGATAAGTTTAGATTTAGACTCAGCTGCGACGACGGACGTCGCATGTGTTTGGGCCTCGTTGTCGGCTCTGACACTGGTAGTGTCAGCAATGAGAGTTGAGGCTTGATTCCTCGCTCCAAGTCCCTCTTTACAGTCATCAATGTCGTCATCCTGTCATATGAATGAAGTCACCACAGATTCGATCTTGTTGATCATAATAAATGAGACAAATCAGGCTTATACTACACAACCTACCACCAATCTACATCGTGACTCGACTCGTGCGATGAAAAAGTCTCTTTTTTGCCTCGATTCATCGTTAATTCAATGCAATCGCGGCCATCGCTGCGCACATGGGCAAGTTCACAGTTTTTGACGGGGATTGTCGCAATACGACTGCGTCCATCAGGATCTAGTGCCACCAGTAGCTGACCTTGTTCCAGCGATAAAGTACAATAGACTAAACCCCATTCTCCCGGCTTGTTGCGGCTGAAAAGTCTTGGCGTACGGCGGTACAGCGGCCCCGAGATACTCATGTCACTTAGTGATATGATAAAGAAAACTGCGTTAGGGAATAGTTTAAGAATATGATATGAAAGAGGATTTGAGGACGCGTCAACGTCAGATGGATACATTTAGAGCAGGTAGAAGCTCGTTAAATACAGACTGTACGTAGTCTCCGAGTACGTCGAAACAATCGGATACATAAAGCTCTTGAAGGGAAGATACAGGAGGTTCAAGAAGCTGATAAGCGAATGTGACAAGAATCTCCGTCGTAAGCCAGCAACACCAGGAAAAATGCAATGTCTTTAGAGCACGCGACTTGGCGAGCTCTTGCAACAATGCAGCACCTTGTTCACCTGCTGCAGCGTCGAAACAGTCGACGATCTTGAGGTGTTCGAGGTGTGGATGAGCCGTCGTCAACTGCGTGAGAAAGCTACTGGACAGTCCGAGACACGACACGAGACTCAGCGAGAGCAATCGTACTTCATCTTGAGTTTGCACAATGTCCACGTCTTCCACATCCAAATCTTCCCACGACTCTACCTCGCATTCTGCCGGATGACCGGACACAAATTTCCACGCCATGCGGTGGTCTTCGTCCACAACATCGAACAACGGTGCTAAGGACTTCTCGTCTCGGACGAAACCGACCGTAAGATGTTCGGTCGGCTGAAGTAACAAGAGTCGCACATTTCTATCACTCATCGTCTTGCAAGCTGTCGTAAGTTCTGCTAGTCTGGACACCATCCAAGGCTCGAAAGAGGCGAAAAATGCCTGTGTGAACTTGCACGAAGAGCTGTATAGGTCAAACGACCGCGCGATCTCGTAGATGCATCTGCATATTGCACAGCCAGAGCAGCCGAGTGTAAGCTAACCGCCAGACATAGATTGATAAATACTATGATCCTATTACCGCTCCTGTAGCGACGAGAACTCGTCCACCCTTGACGTTTTCTGGAGCTCGGACGCGATCGACAGCGCTCCTTTGCGCTTGGTCTTCTCAATATGGTCGTCCTTTAGACGCGCGTTAGTCCAGGATTTCAGTACGTCAACCCGCACTCTACGACGCATGGCATCGTTAGTCTCGGCACGTCTCCGCCGGTCCGTGAGCTTGTTCTGCGCTTGTCTGCTCTGCGCATTTCTACGCGAGACTTTAACCACCTCCTGCTGCCATCGCTTGAACAACACGAACCTGCCATGTATCGAAGCGCTCAGTACACATAACTAATCATTAGCTTGGTTTTTACATGTCTTCCGCACCGCTCCATCTTGGAGCCGTAGCCACCGCATTGGCGTCCCTTCCTATTGCGTCCCATACAAAATGTAAATGTAATAACTTTATTTATTTTAAGCAGTAGCGTAGCACGTCAGATGAGGGCATTATCACCGGTAGTAAAGTTGCAGTTCAAGCATCAAGACAGACAAAGTCACTGCATCGAATACTAAAGCAAAAGACAATCAGTCAGCTAAACAAGTCCAAGACGGCGTCATACATAGCGTCCAATATTGATTACGTCATTTTGCAGAGCTTGCGACGCTTATAAAAGGCGGGACGTATTCGGGACTGGGCGTGTTTAACCATGAGTGCTGATACCACTCATGGTTGAACAGCGCCCAGTCAAAGCTGTTGAGAAGCATGACCTAAAACAGATTGTGGTGCTACTGGGAAAGTTTCCTATGGTTCAAGCACCAGGCAAACGGTAAAAGCCAAGAGCTAAAACCTCAATGCATTCGCTTTAGTCGCTATGACCAGGATACAACAATATCTTCAGCAACCATACCCGCTTTTTGTAGGTTTGTAAAGAAGAGAAACCATCATACACTCTGCAAGCAGTCTGATAGCGTTGTGGTGCTCCATGTGCCAACATTTGTACCTGCTAGACATCCAGACCGTAGTGCAGTGGTCATTCATGATGTGACTGTTTCGTGGCCCTGTTTCTTCCAGATGCAGTTTTGTCAATTTCGCGAGGGGACCTTGACACTCACTTTTACAGGTTCAAAGAATTTACTTGAAACGATATGCCCAACTTCGTAAGTCAATACGGTGCAAACATTATTTGATCGTCTTAGCGCAAGTAATCCACTTGCGTCCCGAGTGTAACGTTGAACATTGACACACATCAAGAAGTTCGTAATTTGCCACACGGTCACCACAATTTCTTCAAAAGACAATCACTTGGCAACTTTACTCCACAAAGCTACGTCCAGGAACTCTGACCCAGCGATTGTACACTTCGTCATCGCGCTTTGTTTCACTTGTATTGTTTCAGCTAAAAGAACAACGTACATGTCAAACCAAAGATTGCTGAAACCGATACCAACATGGCTACATTCAAAAGGTGACGACAAAGAATCTCCTCTTCAAGATTCTTGTGCCAGGACAAATTTGATTGCCCTTTCTGCAGCAAAAAAACCTTATGCTACGGCTGACAATGGTTTGTTTTGATGAGAGTTCTCCGCCTTTTCTTGCTCAAATTGCGTGCGCAATGGTGTTCGATCGTCTAGCCTGACAAATGTGATTTCTCGCCGAAGCTGATGTTAGCTCATCATGTATAAATTAGTATCAATTTCATAACATCTGTATCATATGCTAGATAAAATCGTGTGTGTCGATTGAGATAGTTGATCTCCTATGTTATCGAATGATGTTACGTTTGCGTAACCAAATAACCTCTAATAATAAGTTATCTCAGCGTTCCTGCTTTTCTCATACTGAGTTCTTGCATCAAAACCGTAAAAAGTCAAGAAGAAGGAACGGTCGAAGCCAACGTCAGCAACAGCAGCGTAAAATCTCTCACTCTCTCTTATTGATACTAGTCGTCACCATGTCGAATTGGGGAATGCGATTGAATCCATTTAGCAAGAGCTATTCGCAACTTGAAATGGACCAAATGCGTTTCGTACATCAAGCTTATTGTGAGGCTATGGAAGTCAGTGAAGAAGACCTTCCTACTGCTCTAAAAATGGACGATAATTTCTATCCGCTACATAATCCCACTATCTCGGACTTTGATGAAAACTCGTATCTACGCAAGATGCAGGACGTTGTCGGATTGCTACGTAATCCTGCTGAGGCCATTATCTCCAGTATTTGTGCTTACCAGAGGGAGAGATACGACCGATCCTTTGCATTTTCTGGATATTTGAACGATCCACGTACACTGCTACTTGAGGAGTTTAAGGACTGGGCTATGCGAACACTTGCATCGGCTACCTGTACTACGGAATCAATATTGATCGAGGTACGTCGCAGACACAGTTACGTGCTAAGACTGCAGCATGGACAACAAGGTCTATTTCACTCTGGATCAGGTGAGCGTTCTTTGTTGGGAACGCTAAAGGATGTGAGGAACGTGATTGAAACACGAGTGCTCCCGATAATTGAGACTGAACGTGCCCATTCATCGGCAAGAGAGCAGCTACATACACTAGAAGCTCGTGGCACAGATGGTCTGATGCATGGAGTGCAGTTCCTCTTCTATGTGTTGCGAAATACGCCGAATACGCCGGCGGATTGCACGATCAGCAACTTACAGGCGCAACAACATGCAGGCATGAAGGATGCAATGGGCAGCAAGTCAGGACAGATGCTCGAGGTGCTACTCACGACACCGTCGTTCAAGTACGTGCACATGCTGGTATTCCTAATGAATGTCGAGATTTGATTGTGTGGTTGATCCTTTTTGTTTTTCAGAGAGCTGTTTCCTCAGAACCAGGCCACATTGTCCCCTCAGGATTCACTCCCATCTTTACTTTTGACGAACGAGGAGGAGGATGAGATGACACATACTGCAGTGTTCTGCGATACTGATGCAAATCCGCAGGTGCCGCGAGTGTTGACGCGGCAGTTGAGACGCAACTCGAACCCGAACGAGGTGGCGATTAGTCCGTCGGAATTCCTCCAACAGAGCAACTCAGGTGTTGTTTCACTTCGGAAGGAGGTGCAACAGGAGACTTTTGACGCGTACACCAAGCTGCACGGTTTACTAAAGTTACTTGCAGATTTGCTAGTTTCGTGTCGTAAAGCTCGACAACTTGCTGGCCCCGGTGGTGACTTGCTTGTGTATGGACCTGGCGGCGAAGAAATTCGGCGATTGATGCAGTCGCTGGAAGCTGTGCAGTCAGAGATCAGTAAAGAAGTGAGCCAACTTACGCGCATCGGTGTACGCGAACTGGATCGCCTTAAACCTAACCAGGAGAAGGCTTGGCGTTGGAGCTTCAGTAAAGTGCTGCCGCTTGAAGGCTACTTAGCCCGCGATTTTGGCGCATGTGTAGAACCTATTCAGCGCATGTATGCGAGCGCTGACCCGTTACACGTGCAAAAGATGTACAAACAGTTCAAACAGGCCACAGGTTTGTGGGTGGAGGAAAACAATTCTATCTGCAGGTATGTCACGGCAACGTTAGGTGGAGGTTTTATTGAAGACGGGGAAAAGCATCACAAACAATTAGAAAATGGGAAGGAAGAACCCGAACATCATGGAAAAATCGAGTTGCTCGAAGATGAAGCTTCGTTAGATATGAGTAATGCGCTCGTTGTAGCGGGGACCGGGTCAGATCATCGTACCAGTAACAGTGAAAAGGTATCATCGTCTAAAATAGAGGACCGGATTGTCCTTTTGGACGACAACAGTTCAGAGAGCGATGCTAAGAACCAACTTGTAGTGGCAAATCGAGCACTCGTCCGTGCTCCCAAGAAGCAGCCAAGTTCGGATAGTGGCTCGTTCTTCTCGACGCTTGTATCGTGGGGTGTGAGTACAAAGACACCGCCGAGATTAGAGGAAGGCGAGAGCGGCCCAGTGAATTCTGACACAGACGAAGACGAAGACATGGACAAGGGCCCATCGTCATCCTCGTCAGCAAGGGAAGCCGCTGATATTGCCGCAGCGCAGGGCGGCGTGCTGGACACACTGCTGCTTGTGCGTCAGTCAATTCAGCGTATCGGTCAGTTGTCTTGGGGGGTCCGGACTTCGTACCATACTGCGTTCATTGATGAGGGCAGTTTTGACGCGTTCATCGTGCTGTGCTCCATCTACGAAACTACTGGTGTCTCTTGCTCTAGCGACTTGCTGCTCCGTGTGAGGTTGCACCGTACGCGTTTATCGCAGCTTCTAAAGAAGCACATTCAGTCAATTCTTAGCTGCGTCGTGGTACTACAACGTCGGATCGTGGATGAAGAGAAGAGCATACCGGGCATGACTCTAGTATACCGGCGTCTGAGAGCGAACCTTTCTGAGTTTGAGAAGGAAATGGACGATCTGATGGTTAAATTCAAGCAGATGATGGTGGAGTCTTCTAAGATGAAGGCCGGCATCCTCGCGTTGCCGCTGGCGCAGCAGCGTGAGTCTAACGACGTTATCGGCATGGGTGCCTATGCATACAACTCGATTAACGCTCTTGCGTCTAGCTTTGGCTCTGCGCCCGCGCCGTCCCAAGCCATCCTCTCGCACGGCGAGTACATGACGGAATTAAGGTCACAGCTAGATCTGCATTGGAACAGCATCTCGCACCTTTTCCAGAGCCTTCAGGGCACCGTGGAGTCTGTAGCCACAGTTGATGACCGTCTGAGGGTACGTGAAAGCAGATTCCATCCTTATTCACAGGCTGGCTGATCAGTGACATATCTGTTTTGCTGTTCAGGGCTACGCTAAGTTCCTAGATATCACCGTGCCACCACAGCAGCTGGATTACATTTTTGAAGTAAGGACTTGGGCGATTTGCTGTCAATCGGTTTGAGCTGTTTGCTAACTTGTTGTGGTATTCAGTTCAACTACGATGGTTTCTTCCGCCAAACAACGAAGGATTTGGAGATCTTGCTGACTTCCTTTGACACGTCGAAGTAGTACACGACGTTCAAGGCGCTGCTCAACTCGCGAAGATAGCGAGCTACAGGCCGTCCAGAAGCTATGACGACATTTTAACTGTTTCCAATTCTAGTGTTTAATATAAAAACCATGCTTGCTTTCTGCAATGGCTTCATTCTTGATAGGTTATAGCACATCGAGGAAATCACTCGCGGGTGGCTGTACCGCTACAGTTGTAGTCGTGCTCGTTGTCACGGCATTAATAGTCGGCATGTTTGTTGACACCGTCTCGTGCAACCTTGCAGTGACAGCCGCTGCCGCCTCAGCTTCTCTCTTCCTCTTCATAAGCTTGGAGGCTTTGCTGTTTTGGTAACTCGAAGCTGCTGCCTCTTTTCCCGTCACGAGATGAGTGACCGGAGTTTTGCTCGTCTTTGGCACCATAGTTCCATTGTAAACCGCGTTCGTGCTGTGTGGAGCGGCGGCACTGTCTACCACTCCACTGATACTCCCTGCTGTGCCCGTCCCTTTTCCCACTGACAACGTGACTGTAAGTTTACGTGGTCGAGTAATGTTCTCGTCTTTGATTGAGCCATAGATATCCACCTGGTCAATACTTGGCTCACTTGCCATGCTAGAATACAAGCAACAGCTAGAGAAGAGATGTTCCGAATCAGTGTACGGTTTAATCTTTTTTAGGTTGGCGTCTTTGCGCGGCTGTTTTGAATCGATGAAGCCGTCCCAGCCTCGAATAATATTTCCATGCGGAGTTTCTTCAAAGTACACGGATTCTTCCTCTTCGATTTGTGCTTGTAAAGCCAACACCGTCTCATGGGCACGACACTGCGCTTCGTACAGCGTCAGCATTTCGTTGGACACGCTGTTGGGTTTCATATCGCTAATGAAGTTGTCATGCGTAATGAGAGTTTTATATAAATCAGCATAAACCTGGTTTAAAAATAAAAGCATTAAAACCACTGTGATTTTGAAGCCTCCTAAATTTAAGATTGAAATACAATACTCTAAATTGAGGCGAATTTCCAGATTTATATCTGACAAAAACCTAATTACACTATTCCTTAGTGTGTGATGGTATGTAGGTAGACCAACAGGTCATCGTTATAGTCATAGCCTGTCATAGCCTGTCATCGCTACTTTAGCATTTTCAATGTAACGGAGCACCCTGCGATTATACTGACTTAGCATAATCTACTTACATTGACACAGTGTAAGCAAGAGACTCAAAACCTCACGTAACCCGACGAAGCAGATGAAACTACACACTAAACGGACTTGGCACTAAGACCTCATGAGAATTTCGTGTCCGTTGCCAAATACGTGGGTAGTCTGTCGCTATGCCGGCTGAAAGCTGATGGCTAGTCGGCTCTCAATCTTTTTACCAGAATGTCTTCGTTGATAAATAAACCGTCGCGGACAACGAAGCTACGTGTCACATTCATAGTACCGCGCGGCTGCTCAATTTGAGCCGTGTCATTGCCACCAAATTACAGGGCTCAAACTGGGTTGCCGCGACGGTACTGTGGGTGTGACATGTAGCTTGGTTGTCCGATCCGTTGAGGTATATGACCATGTGGGGCCGCCTGGATTGGATCCTTGTCACATAGTCATCCACCCCAACTGTTACGGGATAACACAACGGTTGGAACCTATTACGAACGTTTACGGTTGAAGTTTTCCTTTATTGCATATAATGCATTACTTCTCTGTAGAGAGGTATTAAGTATAAGTGTTAAAATACGGTATTCGGTAATACCGTATCTTATCGATTAGGATTTGATAATCGATAGCGCTGTACTAGTACATCATACACAGATGTTTAGACGATACGTCGTCCATTAGCAAAGTCTGCATATAATAATTACTATTATAGTAATTAATATAGTGTAGGGTACTTAGAGTAGGATGATTCATAAAATCTTTATGCATACATAAAATCAGTTCTCATTTTGAGTTTAAGATCGCAAGTCTTTCTGACTTGTTCTCTTGTGCACTTCGTGCGTTGGATCTCTGAACCTTTAAGCTTCTAGCTTGTTCTTGCACTCTGTGCATTGGTTCTCTGATCCCTTAATCTATCGCTTGTAGACTAGAAGTCCCTCCACGTTCCTTAGAACAGGAGTCGTTTAAGTAGTTTCTTAAATCCAAGTGACTTTGAACCATCAGCTTTAATTAGGTCTATAAAACTAAAAGGCTTTCAGCCTAAACATCTGCCTCTGGCTAAAGAGCTGTGCAGCTCCGCTACAGATATAGTGACTACTTTGGAAAAAGAAAAGCGCTGTGTGGTCAAAACTATCTAAAAGTAACAGTTTAAACACATATGAGTAAGTCAATGCGTGTTGCCGAGAAGGCAGCAGAGAGCGCGGCTGCACGTCTTGCCGTTTAGGCCTTAAAACCTCTAGCAGGCGATCATTCGGCTGCCGGTCGCAACTGTTAGCCGCACCGTTTAAAGGGTAGTAACCCAAAGTTAGAGGTTTAATACTCAGCTGAGTCGGATGTAAAAGGGCATCTAGTTACACGTAAACATTAAGTAATATACTTAATGTTTGGTCTAAAAGTATCCATGATTACTTTTGACCTGTCACTTGGGTGCGATACACAAATGTGATCCACCCTCGTGAATGTGATATCCATTTATGGATTCACATGAGAAGGGATGACGCTAGTTGAAGCTAGGCATCGCGACGTCTCAGAAAGACGTCAGTTGCGATCTTAAATCTAGATTTAAGATCATGCGACAGGATACGCTTCTAAAGAGTCGCGTATCCGCGGCTATATATATATATATATAGCCAATCATTAGTTAAGTATATATTTAGTTATAATTAATTAAATATAGCTCAGTCTTGAATTTACTTAAACAAACGCACCACGCACGAGAAGTTGAAAAGCTTCTACGTGACGTCGGTGCCTTCTTGTAAAGAAGTTCGTTGCACTCTCGCTCAAGCGAGAGGCAACTGGTGGTACGACTGCTTAAGCAGTCGACCAACCTCCCAACCACCCTCGCACGCGAAGGTAAGACGGTCTAACCGCTTCCTCGCTTGTGCTGAAGGTGTGTGCTAGTAGAACGAGGCAACTTCGTAGAAGTGCCCGTCTACATCGGATATGTCATCCGACTTGAATTCACATACTACCTTCTCGGATTCGCCCGGATCAATGGTCACAAAGGGGCCGTGGCACATTGAATAAACCAATGCGGCGAGAGATGTTCGAGTCGTCTGATGAATCGGACGGCCCGCCTCCCGAGTCGAGTGAGTCACACTCTACGGGCCTGGCAGCTTTTGGTTCGATAAGCTCTATTGTGATACAGACACGCTAAGCTTCGCATTGAAGAACCCACTCTGCAAGCAGTTAATCTAGTTCGGGGTGTTTGGCAGTGCGACCACGATACATAGTTCATACAATGTATCAGTAGCCATTTGTGTAAAAGGCAAGATTTCCAAAAAATTACTTATGCCTCGAGGCTGGTTGAATCCATAGCTTCATATTCGCATCGCTTTTTCAAAATGGACTTATGGTGCTGATAGTGGGATGCTTTGGTAAGTTGAGCTCTTGCTTTGTCTAAGCGCAAACAGCAGCTTAAGTCAAGCGTGGCAACTCATCATGCTTTTGGCAGATATGAAGCTTTCTTTGTCCGTGAGGTTTATGAACTAACGTGCTGTGTGGGCATCTTTTCTGGGGGGGGGTGCTTTGATTTTTATGGCACATGGCACTGTCAGCCAATCAGAGTGCACGCCTCTTTTATTTGATAATATTACAAGTAAAAAGCCACGTATTCGATCTTCTCCGATACTTAAAGTTTCTATGGTCTACGAGAACTATGATTTAACAGAGGGCAGTCTGTCTATGATTGTATGGATGTATCCATATACAAAAAGGGCTGATTATATGCAGAAAGTGCATACATGCGACATTCCTAAATCTAAGCGGAATTCGAGAATCCCAGGTATACATTTGATAGTAAAAAGCTGTTAGCATTAAAATAAAAATGTCATCTAAATAACTGACATTAAAGATGGAGATCTTTCAAGATGGAGAGCTTGAGGCGGAGGTGAGTCACTACAACGTCTCTTTATCCCATTAAGGCTTGACGGATTTAAGTTGGTAGCAATATTTGCTGTTTCTAACTACTTCACCATTTGATCACATGTAGATGAACAAGCGCGAGTTAAATACCAACAGTCTTGGAAGCTGGTGGAAGCTTTTTAATGAAACGTACGAAGAGATGGTGCAATCCATTGCGAATCCTGTTCGTGCCGAGTATTCTGTCCGTGAATTGGGAGATCGACAATTTACACTAGACACTGACGGTAGTGAGTGCCACGAGTTTGTGCGGGAAGACTTTTATCTGCCAAATATCCGAGGAGAACAATTGGCCTGTAGTTTTTGGCGTCGTAGAGAGGTTAGAAATGCAGATCCGATTGTAGATTTGGCGAGTTCATTCTCGTCGACGCCGAAGGAAAAGATGTCGGTTGGGTGCTCGATGGGTGACAATGCCAGCACGAACAGCAGCTGCAATCCCAGTTGGAGAAGTCAGCACACCAATGGGTCTCTTGATGTAGACCCGTGCATCATATATGTGCATGGCATGTCCAGCTCACGAAAAGAGTGTGTTTACTTTCACCGCAAAGTATTGGCAAGAGGGTTCTCGTTATTTGCAATGGACTTGTCAGGATCGGGGCTTTCCGGTGGGGATAGTGTCTCATTTGGGTATTTTGAATGCGATGATGTACGTACGGTCGTGGACTATCTGTATGCTACTGGACGCGCATCTGCTGTGGGTATCTGGGGCCGCGATATTGGATCTGCAGCGGCATTGCTGCATGTAAAAGAGCGCATGCCATATTATTATACAACCTTGATAGTCTCAAAAAGCGATGCTGTGAAGCTTGATATTGTCGAGAACGAAGCCGATCATCACATATTGTGTGTTCCTCCATCGAAGGGATTAAATTTCCGGCTCAATAAGTACAGTGCTGCACATGGCGACTTTGTGTTGCTTGCTATTGACACCATTCCTGTACAGGGACTCAGTGCAGCAACGTGCTACCGTCTTATTCAGCAGAGTTGCAACACAAATGGCGGTAAAGCACGTTTACAGGGATTTAAGCGCTCTTCTCGCAAATCTGGAAACGATAATTTTATATTTGCGCTAACAGCAGATTGTGGCTATGGAGATATGGAGCAAGTCATTTGGGACATGCTGCAGATGATCACCAAAAGCGCTGAGCGACGCAGTCTATTCCTTCCATCTGCGATGGTCACAGCAGTGCAGAAGATTCTGTCAAACTCAATTGGTAAGGCAGGAGGGTTCGATTTCCGTAGCGTGCGCTTGCTCGATGCAGTGCCACACTTCACGCTTCCTTGCCTCTTCATAAGCGCTTCGAAGAAGGATTTCTTCATGCCGGAACACACTAAAACACTGTGCAACAGGTATGGTGGGTCCAAGAGCTACACTCAATTTACAGGTCAGATTGATGACAACCGGCCAGTCGAAGTCCTGGATACAGTCATTTCTTACTTTAGCAAGCGATTTAAACTGCTAAAGAAGTGAGGGAGGACGACATGTAGATATGCATATGCAAATACATAAGTATCACCTTGAATCGACATGTCATTCTTGTACGAAAGGAACGCAATCTGCTGTGTCTGTAAGTAGCAGCAGTTCGCCAATAGACCCTTTCATTGCCCAATCTTCTGTTCATTCAAAACAAGAATGGCAGGAATTTTCGACCGATTCCGGTTTGATGCTAACAATGAAGACGCGGTGGACACTCGTCGAGATGCCAAGAGAAATTTAGAGAACGATAACGAGCATACTACCATGGTTTTTAGAAAGCGAGGCAAGCACAAAGCAAAAGAACCGAAGCGAGAGAAAGATTCTCCATCGAGTGGCAAATGGCAGGAGCGTTGGCACGCCATTTGCAATAACTGTTTTGAGCATGCACATACCTGTGAGCATTACCCAGAGCATCGCCTACGTCTGCTTATTGTCGGTCACAATCCGTCTGATCATGCGTGGAAGACTGGGTATTCGTACAGGTAAGAGTGACTATTAACAGAAGAGTTACGGTCAAGTACTTAGTTGTCGGGTCCGTGCATGTGTTTGCAGCAACCCGACGAATCGAATGTGGAAATTGCTAACGGGGACACTTTCTCCTCAATCGTGGAAGGGCATTTTGCCTACTACTGCAAAGATTGCAGAGCAGAACGTCATGCCTCATGTTCTTGGTGTTGGGTTCACATCAATTGGCTTGGAGGTACAATAGATGTTGATCACAAATTGTACAATGCATGAATGGTCTAACGTTTGCATTCATCACAGCCAGGAAATGATGCTTCAAAATATGGCAAGACAACAAGTACGAAGAACCGCTTTGTCGCTTTATCAGTAAGGAACGGAGATATTGGACGTACATTAACTCATTGCTTTTGCTACATGTAGTGGAAGCCTGGCGAGGTAGTTTCTTCCTGCGTTTGCGCCGACATGCTGCTCAAGTTTGCATCTATGATCACAACAATGATATCGCCATGAAGCACGGAGATGATGGCGAACTAATGAAGTGTCAGCTCGCTCATGCTCCGACGATCATCGCATTTTCCGGCAAGAGGCAATTCAGCTGGTTGTTCTCACCACCTTTATCAAAAATTGAGAGGTTTGGCAAGCAAACCAGACTTCCTTCAGGGTGGCCACACGAACTTCGCGCGGACAGTGAGATCTGGGTACTTCCTAGCTCCAGTGGTCGTGCAGCAATGACAACGGCGCAACGGACGATGCCTTACCAACAGCTCGCGGAGAGCGTGCGCCAAATTCCGTGGCCGAATGAACTAGTGAATGGAACGTAGCATGTTCTTCTTATATACTGTACTCAGAAATCATGCTACAAATCTCGCTCAATTTCGGTCGTTCTGACGGCTCGTAGCGGATACATCGCAGAGCCAACGCTTGAAAGTCAGCCGGAGCGTCCTCTGCGGGCAACGGTTCCAATCGCCGCGCAACCACCTCGGTCGCAATAAAAACATCAGCCATAGTGGGCCCACGTTCCTCAGAAACGTACTGAAACAGCTTGCTCCGTGACGAGATCTCGCAGAAAATAACACCGAGCGCGTATACCTCAGCGGCATCAGTGATATTATCTCCTTTGAGCAATTCAGGTGCCCGTGATGCTATGTCTCCGTTGCCAAACGACCGAGCAGGCACTAGTTCTGTCCGCAGACTCGAGGCGTAGTCGAAAATATCCAGCTTGCAACTAAACTGCTCGTCAAGAAGCACACTCTTGGCCGTCAAATTTCGAGACAACTTGGTTCCCTGAATCGAACGCACGAAGTTCAATCCGCTGCAAATATCTTTGCTCATTTGAAGCCGCTTAGGCCATGAAAGATGGATTTCCTCATCTGCCAATACCGATCTTAAGCTGCCCATCGGCATGTGTTCCACCACTATAAGAATCTCTTCGCGATCTGTCCAGCTAGTTCCCAAGAAGCGCACGATATTATCATGTCGAAACGGAACATACGACATCCGGACAGCATTAAGTTCCTTGAGAGACATGTGCAGCTCCTGAGGTATAAACCTTAGCGCAACAACATTGGTTTCCTTGTATACACCAAGCCACAGACCTTGCATCCCTAATTTCTTGTGAAGTATCACCTGATTCTTGCCGAGATCCATATCTGCCAAGATTTTTGCGTCACCCGTTACTGCAAGCTGCGACCCCGTCTCGACTTCCCTACCGGTAAGCAAGCCGTCCTCACGATTGGAAAACGTCAGTCGCTCGTCGACAAATCTGCTCGCCTTCCTCTTGAATCGATGGAAGAAAGACAGAACCACTACTAGAGCCAACGTGCACGCACTCACCATCATAATAGCGCTAACTGACGAAGCAGCCCGAGTACTAGTGGTGTTAGCTGACTGTGTTTCGAGAGATCCAGTGGCATTCTTATTGCTATAAGATGAGCGAGCCTTACTTTGCACGTCGTTGGCAATACAAATTGTCAGACCACCGATCGTTTCTTCCATAACACACGACGTCGACCCACTACTTAACAAGTCGACAATATTCGCAGTCGCTTTGAAGTCCGAGATACTCGACAGCTGAGCGTACTCATTCTTCGTCAACACGATAGGTCCCACAATCGTATTGTGCTCTAAAATCCTAACAACCAAAGCAAAAGTTTAGCAACAGAGCTCTCACTCATAACAACAAACTACAGTGTCTTAAAACATACAGTGACTTGACTGCTGTATCTAATTCCAATACTGCCGTAGGAAATGACAAGTTGCAATGACGGATCACCACTTGCTGTATCGTTACCGACGTTTCCAGCTCCAATTTTTCCACCGTAGCTCTATCAAAGATCCTGCAATTGCCAAACACATAGAAATCAATACAATAACAACAAGCAGCTATTCCACATGTTCTCCTTCTTCTTCTCTTTTCCTTACAAATGATTCAGCTTCACTCCTTCAGGCAGCCATTTGTTCTCAAACGTGGTCTTCATACTAACCACATGAACCAGATTCAGCTCTTTGAGTCCAGAGAGTGCATTAGTCCCAAAAGTGAGCGACACATCCACGTCTTTTGGTTTATTGTCCGCTTGGATCACCAGCTTCGAGACGTTTACATCCATAGCGTCATCGAACTGCACGTCCACTACCACCGACTGGTCACTACCACTTGATTGCGTCAATATTTTTGACAATGGTACACTCCATTGGTTCAGCTTCCACTCGGCGCCGTTTACGTACGTATCCAACTCGATGGGCGAGAGGAAGTTCTGGGACGTCGGCAAAAGATCCGTCATTGCAGCGGATGAAAGTTCCAGCGGCACCAGCGTCTGATGTGGTGAAATGTTTTTTGATCTGCCTGTCCATGAGAGCACAAAGCGCTTGATATCAGACGCTCGTAGCATCTGTGGCAGCAATAGCGCCGTGACGACGAAGCTCCAGCGTCGCAAGTCCATGATTTTTCTGACAATCGCCACAAAAAGATGATAAACCGATCGATCTTGCAGGAAAAACTTCTTAAAATTATACCCGTGCGACGCGAAAAGGATAAAGGTGGAACGATTGGCTTAACGACTGACTCATCATTGAACAATCACTTCTGAGATTATAATTGGAAGTGAAGCTAGAGCTGATGTAGTCTTATGCAACCCTTGAGCTTTGATAGCTACGTAATGACACTAAGGAAGTTTTCTCAGGAGAACATTGTGGTCTGCAGAACTACATTGCACCGGATACTCGTGCATCGAAAGACCCGTGAATTTTTTTGTGGATGTGTGAGCAGACTGTTATTGACCGTTTTGGTTGACAAGATTTCTGAAAAGTCGACAGTGATTCTTGTACCCCAAGAGATGTCTCCTGTCTGTTACGAGGGCTGTGCAGTGCCGGCTGCCGATTGACGATGGTGTATTGGAACATTTTTGTCGCTAGGAGGTGGTAGGCGCCACTGCTCACGTCCCTATCTCTCCGTTGTTCGTTGATAGCGACCGCTTGGAGTTGACGAAAAAGGACTTGTTTGACTGTCGCTACCTCTTGCTATGTGGCCGCACTTACCTGCTTATGAACACTCTTGTTACGCCGAAGTGGTTACGCAGACGGAGCAAACTATCCACCATATTCTTTTCCAGGCCCGGCCAACGATGTCTGTGTTGTCTGGGAACACGTGCAAGATAGTCGCCCGCACTTTTGGAGGTAGCTCCGGTGCCAATTGTGAGAACGCTGCTTGTTTGTACAAGACCATATGATACCTCCGATCGTGTCCACGTGCATGATAATATGTGCCCAAGATCTGGACGCACCGACGCAGTCCAAGAGGATATGTAGTAGTCCTTCGTGTTGCTTGGTGCAGGCCACATGCCTCTTGCATGTCGAGCCATGTCGCGTCATGGCAAGTGCAGATTCAACTGATGGGTAGCTGCTCTGCAGCATACCGACCTGGTGTTGCGTGAGAGTATGTCCGTGTTCCCAGAGATGTGCCGGTGAATACGACATTGGAAAGTAGGTGCCGTCTTGTGAGCCGTCTCGGTGTTGTAGCTTGGCGACTACCGCCGTAAGCGCTGGATGTAGCTTTCGTTTGGCGCGATAAAGGTTGGCGATGTTGTTGTTGGAGAGCGCTAGGCTCCATGGGAACCCATGCAGCTGCGGATGCGCTGTGATTACAAGCGCCGTGTTCCGTAATCGGTGTTGTATATTCACCAGCCCCTGTTGATCCGTTTCGAGCACATTGGTCATGTAATCGATGATTCAATGAACTCCGTTGCTGGCTTGATTAAGGGCGATAAAGGCGAGGTTGCCGCTGGCGTGTGCTTGCTGGTGCTCGTGTATAACCCCCTCGCTTCTATATATCCACATGTCCTTGTGCAGTACTTCAGGTCCGTTCCGCAGCGTTACCTGAGCCGGTATTTGCATTACTTCTGCTTCGTGTAGATAGGGACTTGCTACCAGTATAGCCCCAGTTTAAAAATTGCATGGTAAGTATCAGCCCTGATCTTTTGAGCCGATTACGGTAATCCAGTGTTAACACTCATCGAATGTGTATGGAGCTAGCATGCAGGTGTGTCGCAGTGGATACTTCTTTGTTAATAGCATCATCTCCTTGTCATTCACTATCCAAAGATTCTGATCCCACCTGTAAGTCGCCCGTCCGACAATCCTTGTGCTCCTGGATGGACAAGTTTGTACGAGTCGGGATGTCTTCTGCTTCTAGATCCGTCTGGTAGAATGATTGTTAAGAATGGTTGTCAACTTCAAGCCTACATAACCACATAGTATGCCAATCATCAGGTCCTTTATTCGATGATTTTGATGCAGTGGACAACAGCGTCGTTAGTGGCGTCAGGTGCTCTTTGCGCGACATTAGGCGCTTGCTTCAGTCGGTATATTTTCTTCAAAGAATCGCGAGATCCTCAAAGCAGCTACGACTCTTTAGTGAAAGAGCTGGAGCAAGAAATTGAGCGGCAGAAGCATCTACGGGCGCAGGAACGGACCGGCCGGACCAACGCCGAGCGGGAGGCGCGTGAAGCTGTACAGCGGCAACAGGAGGCTGTAGGTTATCAATTGAAGGCTGTGGCCTATGTGCAGTCATGTTTTGCAGACCGACGCGGCACTCCGAGGCAAGGCGGCCTTGTGAAGAACTCACGAGCACGCATCACGTTCAAGACGAGTATCTCGCCGGCGTCTCTCGAGTGTCTGGAGCAATTTAGCCACTTATGGGTGCTCTTCGTCTTCCACGAAAACACGAACCTTGCCAAAGGAGCCGCTAAGTCCACATTCCCAGCCAAAATTGCACCTCCTCGACTTGCTGGGAAGAAAGTTGGCCTCTTTTCAACCCGCACGCCACACCGTCCGAACTCTGTCGGCCTTTCGGTCGTCAAAATTGAAGCTGTTTATGATCGGTGCATTGAGATCAGTGGCCATGATCTTGTGGATGGCACGCCAGTGCTCGATGTGAAACCATACGTGCCTGCAGACAATGTGCTGGGCTATGTTGTGCCAGATTGGGTGGCTGCTGAGACAGATGTGATTGCAAGACCTGTCGAGTTCATGGCGGAAGCTACGGCGTCACTGACAGAACTCGTGGACGCAAAGTTGTCGTCTTTCTACTCAAATGTGGCAGATTTGAAGACTGCGATTGAGCAGATGCTCGTCTTGGATATTCGTAGCGTGCACCAGGGACGCGGACAGACTGCTGCGGCCCAGCAGTTTCAGTGTCGTTTTGATACCGTGCAAATCGAGTTTACAACACTGGACGAATGCATCCGCGTGCTGAGCTGCACATGTTATACCAAGCCACAGCGGTCGCATCTGGGCCTGCTAAAACAATAACAGGAAGGAATAGTTTACAACCCAGATATTAACTCAAGTCACGATTGCTGGCTTTGAAGTCCCCTTTTTGTTAAAGCGATTGGTGGACCGCGAAAGTTCATACTTACGCAGCAGCCTGAGCTGTGTATTTCGTCTCAGCATCCTTAATCTCTTGGTCAAGCTCAATCCAGGACTCTTTGAAGAGTTCGCCTGCGATGACACGCTTGGCCATATCCAGCTTCGGCTCCTTGTGCTTCGGGTTGTTGCACAAGTCAATAGTCTTAGCTGTAGCCTTGGTCTCGTCACTACACCACGATTCACACCAGAGCCACTCTTGTGGCAACGAGAAAATAGGAAGCTGGTGCTGCACAAAGTTCGGCAGGTCCTGGTCCAGGTTCGCCAGTGAGTTGGGGTCAGCGCTCAGTTGGCTATAGGTTGCACGCAGCATGTCGCCTGCAGCCATCTGACGGAAAACCGCCAGGTCAACTACGTAAAGAGCACTGATGTGATATGGTTTTCCGCGCAGATGGTCCTTCCAGTAACCTTGACGCCAAAATTGAAAGCCAACGTTGCGAGAATCGCAGAACGGCGTGTAGCCATATGGCTTCCCTTCCATATCAAGTTCCAGGAGTTCCTTCAAGTCAGCACGCACGACTTGGTCAGCATCCACATATATGATCTTTTGCACACCCAGCGGGAACAACACGTCCAGAAAGAGAATCTTGTAGCCCCAGATAATGCGCTGCTTCTCAGTCTGTTGACGCAGCCAATTAGGCCATTTGTACGTAATAAGTCGAATATCCATGCCAAGCTGTTCACGCAGCGCTGGAATGGATGCTTTAAAGTCAGGTGACAAAAAGTTCTCAAGCACCCAAAATGTCACCGGATTGTTGGTGCGCTTGAGAACGCTTAACATCATGATCTTGACAAAGCGTTCATATAAGTAACCGGATGCTACCGAGAAAACGTGGATGGTCTCTCCCGTGCGCTGCTTCTGCTGCATGGCATTACCCTCATTAGTAAGGTCTGTTTCGTCAGTTTTGTCAGCCACAGCTTGAGGAGTCGATTCTATCTCATTGTCGTGCTTGCCCATCACCTTAAGCATTGAGCTCCAGTACGAGCGAAGAGCTCCATCATCCTTGCCGGTCGATTTCGCATCAGCGTCAGACTTTGATTTACTTGATGTTGCTGCATCCTCGACCGACTGCAATAGCTCTTCGTGTTCCATGCCATCTTTCTTACGAACAAGCAGCTGGAAAATGTGAGAGCCAAAGTCGTAAACTATGATGGGGTGGGTCTTCAACGTAAGATCTGTCTCTGGGTCAATGATGTCGAAAAGATCGGCTGCTCTTCCTCTTGCCAGATGCAAGGACCAGACACCAGGCGTTGCCTGCAGTTGAAAGTACCCCAAGTTCTTCATAACTAGGGTGTCACGGTGCAGTAGTTGAGCACCAACTTCGCGCTCAAGGGCCAGCTGCAGACCGTTGGGCGGTGAATACATCTGCAACGTCGCATCGCGGCACTGGCCATACACCAGAAGACTCTCCAACCGGAACACCGCTCTGGTCGTAGACTTCACCTCTGTCAAACTTTCAGGATCCACCCTCAAATTGTCCAGGTCATCACCAGCGTGAAGGCTCTGTACGTTCCACGCCTCAGGGGTGTCAATTTTCATAGTCAAAATTGGTTGCACAGGTAATTTGCGAAACTCGACGCTTGTTGCAGCAAGTGATGGCCTTTTCTCAAAGAGGTATCGGTAAAAGCGATGCAAGGGGAATTCCGTGTACTCATCTGCAGGTACCAGCACCAGCTCGATAGTTGCGTTTAGCTGTGAGTGAAACGTCCGGAGCATGGAGCTAATCACCTGCGCTGCCTCGGATAGCGGATCCACGTAGGCTGCGACCTGAAGGGACGGATCACCAGGCAGTCGAACAGAGTTCAGAGAGTTCTCTTCCACTTCCAGGCGCGATTCTCGCTCGGTCTTCACGTACTTATCAACAATGCCTGTAGTCTTCATGATATCAAAACTTAGTTTATCAGCATCTTCAGTCGTCTGAATGACACTGCGCTTGAGAAGCGCCTTGGCCACAGGCTGGGTGCGGTACTGGAGGTCGAATTTCGCGATAGTTGCCATATCTCCATCTGAAAACGACTGAGACGGAAGAATCACTTGCCTACCGTTGATAAACAGGTGTGGAAGGGCAATCTTGGAAGAGCCTTCTTCACTTTCTTCTTCAAATGCAGGCGGGAACCGCGAGCGTAGAAGCGTGTTAAACTGCGTAAGGATGTCGCGCTGCGTTGTGGTCAGCCATCCCCCTATCTTGTTTTCCAAAAGAGCTAGAACCTTATCATACACCAGGTCCTTGCTACTATCTTTATTCTTCGTCGTTTTCCAAATTCCTATAAGCTTCTCTTTCATCGCATCAGCCGTCTTCTGCATGATAACACAGTTTAGCGCTTCCAATATGAACTTAATATGGGCTTCTTTGTCTGAATTACCCACAGCAACAAGAATGGCAGCTACAAGTTCCCCCACATTGTTGCTCATATCATTGGTCTTGCTTTCGCCCTTTAGCTGAGGTACAACTCCAACTCGTAAAGATTGCTCAGAGTCTTCTAGTACAGCCTTTACAACCCGATAGGCATAACTGGCATCCCGCAAGTCACTCAAGTCCGCTGGGAAAATCACAGTCTGCATTTTTGGCACAATCCTAGAGCCAGGCGCATGCAAATACGTGATTGCAGGCCATGCTGCAGCCTCAAGTCGACCATCCACATCATCAGCAAAAAGATGGGATTCCACTTCTATGTCCCCTGGATGTCTGTTTTCCGGGCTCTCGAAAATTGACAAGAAAGCAGGGTGCGCGTTTTGAGCAATCAAAAGTTCCTCAACAAGATCCATCTCATTGTCCAGCATGCCTCGGTGAGCCATGTCAACATACAATGGTTGGTCACGTCCAAAGCTGTTCATCATCGACCGCTGAATGTCCAGATCCTTTTGAATCACACCATTGAAAACGAATGAGCCCAACGGCACGTGCTTCATGTGAATAAACTCTGTCATGGCCAGCAATTCATTGTCGAACTGGTCGCTTCTCAGGTATGCCAGCGCCTCCTCTTCGTTTTCTTCAAACGTTCCAATGTCGACAGCAGCACCGGTGTAAGCTTCTAGCAAGTTTTCTACCAGAACCTCAGCCTGTTCAATTCCACCGACCCGCTCTAGAAATGCTGAGGCGATTTTTCTTGTAGAGACGGTATGGTCAGTTTCCACTTCTGCTTCGCCGGTCTTCTCGTTCCCACTCTCTGGAGTCTTGTTTTCCGCGCTAGCAGTATCCTTAGACTGCGCCAGCATCAACAGCTTAGCAAAATGCCAGGGAGTTGCCTTTTCGTAATCCTTCAATGACTTGTACTTCTTTAACAGAGCTCGGCGATCATCAGATGTCTTGCTCGCCATGAGCTCCTTCGAAGAAATGAGAAGTGCCCATTGTACAGGAGCACCACGCATACGCATAAACGCAATGTGGGTTAGCGCTGCACGGCCTGCGCCTGTTAGTGGGTCAAGTACAAGAATGCATTCATACATATTCTTGCGAACAAAAATGAGGTTCCAAGCAGGACGTCTAAGCAGGTTTACATCAGGCGGCCAGTCGGCATAGTTCGAATCAATTTCAATGTTGTTCAGGTACAAAGGGGTCGTTCCATTCATGGATCCACGCATGTGGATACGAACCACAGGTTGCTCTTGGTTCGTTTCACGCACATGTGTCAGCATGTCCTCCAGTTCCGATTGGTTCAAGGCTAAACGGCCTAGCTGCTTCGCTACCGACCACTCTTCTTTTAGTGTCTTCATGAAGTCAAATACATTGAAAGAGCGTTCCATCGGGTCCACCGCAATACCATTCATGATGAACTTGTTTGTCAGTAGTCTACTTGCAGCTTGCATTCGCGTAACAGAAATTTCTTTACGAAGCTCGGGGGAAATTATTTTTCGCGAAAACACCAGCTTTTTTACTTGCACAGGGAAGTCCTGTGAAAGTGTTTCAAGCATCTTCAGTGGATTCTTTGCATCCATGATTGCACGCGCAGCACTCACGCCTACATCCTTCAAATGCCAGGCCTTCAGCTCCTGCTCTTGATCGCCATCTGCCTTTTTGACCAAGATGTCGTAAAAATGTTTCAAATCATCAGCAATAGCTTTATGACGAGCCATAAGAGGTTTAAACAGGAATCCTCCGACCTCTTCGTCCTCAATATCTTCCTCCTCTTCATTCTCTTCCTCATCCCCTTTACCATCGCCAACGGCATTCTCCTCTCCTGTCTTTTTCGAATCATCAAAAGTCTTGTACTCCATATTCTTGATATCTAGCGCCACACCATATCCTTGTAATAACGTATCCAACGGCGAATCACGCGGATAGTGACGGACCATATACTGAATCTCATCTTTCTTTGCTTTCTTGGCAAGGTTCGTGTGAAAAGCATAGAACTTTTCCGTGCCCACAAGTCCATATAGAATCACCGACATGGGCGTTTTCACAGCGCTTGACGCAATGTGCGGATACTTGTGGTCCACCTGCAACTCGACATCATTGCTACCAGCGGCCACACACACTTCGTGAGTCTCCTGTTGCTTGTTTCCATGTAGAATAGCCTCCAACTCATTAACCGAGCAAGCCACAGACTCGACACATTGTGGTTCTTGATAAAATACCGCCCACGTGTCCACATCCGCTCCACACAGACGTGCCTTCGAGTCCAGAGCTAATTGACGGAACATCTCCACCTTCACTGAATAAGCGCGTGTTGCCAGCATCAGTTCCAAGATCTAGAGCACTCACAGTATAGTCAATCGACATTTCAATTGTATTCCTACTAAGTACCGTAAAACCAGTCTTTACGCACATTTTTAGAGCCAGGAGCGATACTCTCAGCAATAAACACTGCAAGTGCCCCCAGTGCATCCACGTCGTTCCTTATGTCATTAACGTACGATGTGCGTGTACTGAGCTCATCGACAAATTTCCAGAAGTAAAGCGGATTTTCCTCTGCTAGAAACTCGCTATATCACCCATACAAAAACACTGTCAAAAAATCATCGAGATCATTGGAAAGAATCTATTGACTGACTCATACCTCGTCTCTAGAAGCGGGAAAAACGGGGAGCTGGGCCAACTTGCCGTCAAGTTCACATGGACACCACGTGCAGACGTCACCGAAAGCTGCACCGTCGCTACCAATGCTGCTAAGCCGGCGTTTAGCAACGTTGTCACCCTCATTTTTTTGTCTTCCAATGATCTTATAAACTTGACTGATTCTTGATAGCCACGTGGAAGTGAGGGCGTTATATATTGTCATTCCGTCGCATTGGGATGTTTGTCATGTACTGTACTGCTCCTCTTCCCTCCGTTATCGCATAGGTGCTTACCTATCATTTCGCATACGTCCCCACTCCACTCGCCGCTAGTACGAAGTGAGATCGGCAGCGCGTGGTGCTTGCGTTTGTGCGTCTCTATCATTCTCTACAGAAGCAGTCGAGGATTTGCAAATCATCCGTTGTTATTGCCAGTGTCTTCTCTACCTATTCATACCTTCTTTTACCTCTTAATCGTCCCATATCCACCATGAACAATCCAAACGCGCACCGCAAGATGACGCCCAAGGGCCAGATGAGCTCTAGCGGCATGGGACCCGCCATCATGCACTTGCCCACGCACCTGAAAGTTTTGTTTGAGCCTAATGCACCGCTGGACCATTTACCACGTCTAGTGAAGCGCAAAATGCCGCCGTATTCCGGTCTTGCCGACTTCTTGGACACGTTCGAGACGGAGAAGCCACCGCCTCGAGAAGTGCAAGAGACGCCCAAGGAGCGTCGTGACCGTCGTCGACAGGAAAAGATGGCAGAAAACAATGCCAAGATGAAGGAAGATCAAGCCAAGTGGGATCCAAACGCAGAAGACCCAAGGAAAACTCAAGACGCGTACAAGACGCTCTTTGTAGGACGCATTAGCTACGAGACTACAAAGCAGCAGCTTCGTCACGAGTTTGAGCAATACGGACCTGTCAAGAGTGTTCGACTGGTGGAAGATCCAGAAGGCAAGTCACGCGGCTACGGCTTTGTGGAGTATGAGAAGGAGGCGGATATGAAGGCTGCATTCAAGTTTGCTGATGGCAAAAAGATCGATGGGCGGCGTGTAGTCGTGGATGTTGAGAGAGGACGTACCGTGCGTGACTGGTTGCCTCGTAAGTTTGGTGGTGGCATTGGTGAAACTCGCAAGGGAGGGGCGGATGTTAATGTCAAGTACTCGGGAAGAGAAGCAATTGGACACTTTCAGGTGGGTGCGTCCCGTGATGAGGGAGCGACAAGGACGGATCGGTTTGGACCTCGCGAACCTCCGCGCGATAGAAGCCGCAGTCGTGGACGTGGACGTGAGCGACGTCGATCACGATCAAAATCGAGATCGCGGGACCGACGACGCGATCGCGGCGGTGACCGCAGTCGTGACCGTGATCGCAGCCGTGACCGGGATCGTGGTCGTGATCGTGATCGCCGTAGCAGCCGTGGTTCGCGTGACTATTCCCGTAGACATTAAGCTCACATCGAAATGATGGCCGCGCTGAGGCGACGAAGGTACATTGTATTAGCGCATGGTTTTTTTAACTATTACAAAGGTAAGGAAACCTTCATTGTGGAGCGGTGTCTCGCTTGTGCTCAGAAACGTTCCTGTCGAATGTCGTCGTATAATGCCATTACGTTCACTTCTCCGCCAGCGTAAGTTGTTTTGCTATATACCTTCAGCGTTTTACTGACGCCATTGCTACAATGACGCTACTGACTGATTGCTGAGACCGTGAGGAATGTGTATTGATCGTGACTAAGAACAAGCACCAGTTCCGAAATATCCGTCGTTGATAGATGGACATGATTGTATCGGCTTGATAAACTCGCATTGCTAGTTTTTTCGAAAAAGCTCGAATAACACTTCGTCCGATGAATATGCACCTATGCGAGCTTTTGATACTGTTGTCCCTACTGCAGGCGCAAAATGAAGTGGACGTGATGGTTGAACGAGTGCAAACAACCGGGATGATTGTCGCTACGGAAGTGTCCAAAACAGACGACAATGACGGTATCAACCAAGCATTTTTTTGTCTTTTTGAGAGGTCATTTTAGTACCGAGATTACTATGACAAAGGTGATGATGACGATGATGACGATGATGATGACGATGATGACGATGATGATGACGATGATGACGATGATGATGACGATGATGACGACGATGATGACGATGGAAACAGCGATGATGCCTGTTAGTTTCTTAGCACCACTGACACCGTAAGCCGCTTGGACCATCACTTTTGCATTGATCAAAAGCTGTCGATGTGGTTTGAGAACTCACTTCCAGCTATCACTTGCAAAATGAAACAAGTGAGCTTCACATCTCGTGTTATCGTGCGAGTATACAGGTCACAAAAGTGCTGTGGTTTTATGCTGCCTCAATCAGCTGTGAGATCGCACACACCATATAATCCTGGGACCATCCTGGACATATCTTATGGTCTAGTTATTTAAGCACCGACCTACCGACCTGTTATTTACGCACCGACTTCGGTCTCGGGTTCGATCAAGACTTTTCGATACTCTTGTATCGGAGTGCACGACCGACCGCTCCAAAAGCAAAGATAATAACCTCTTAAAAATTGATGCTATCGATCTTTCCTAGCGAAGTTGATGACAACATTAATAGAATGAGTACTAGGGTGTTTACCCGTCGTTCCGACGGACACGGCGCGCGAACTCTACGCTGATATATATTGCTTATCATTTTACCTTAGAATATCCGGTTGACTCATGTAAATTGATAAGAATGAAAGTCAATGTTAGAAAGGATAGTGTTGACAGGTTGTCAGGCTTTCAAGGTTCGAGTGCAATACCTTGGGATGGCGTCAATGTTTGTGTGACAGCTTGAAAGTTTAGACAAAGCATACGGTTTCAATGTGGGAGACACCGTACGAGATGGTCAGGTAAGACGGATGCCATCTGACACTTACATGGTCAAGGTGCAGTGTCGTTAGGGTGCATGTTGTTAAGTTGACAAGCTAGAGTAGTAAATGCTAAATATATTTTTCTTTTACTTCCAACAACCTTGCACAAGTGCAGTAATTACAAGCATCAAACTTCTACAGGCTATGAGGCGCCATTAAGTGTGATGGCGGTGCAGCTAGAAAAGATGGAACCGCCGTAGTAAACGACGACCTTAACCAAGCCGACGACCACCACTTAGTAGAGAAGTCAACAGCGCCCGTGGCGATGATGGACAAGGTGCTAGCTATGATCGGGGACCTATCCGAGGATAAAGGTCTCGCAGAAGGAGCAAGTCGGCAAGCACCAAAAGGCTCCCCGGAACCGATAATTTTTGGTTCAGTTTTGGGTGTCGGAGCGGAGACGAGTCTTCAGGCTTTGAAGCGCACACCGTCACCAAAGAAGTCGTCAAATGTGTCGCCAGCGATCTAGTCCAGGGTCAGGTGTCACAATCAGGCAGATGTTGGAGGACGTCCTGCGGCCCATGTTGCCGCGGACTACACCATAGGGGTAGGTAGGTATTATAGGCAGGAATGCTTGCAGGTTACTATTCCGGTGTGGTTATTCCGAACAGGATGTATGCTCACCCTAGACCGCAAGCTGCGGGTAAGCTGGACGCACAGCATCGACAGACGCGTTACCTTTTGATGGCAAGGAACTTTACCATGGACTTGATAGTGGGTTTTTTAGAATAGGGCAAGGGATTTGTGTAACGGGGTGAGCCGTTTCATAATATTGACACTTATATGAAGTGTCAATAAAAATATTATAATAGCTAGTAATATTTGACAATATTACCTTTTCTTATAATATTGTTCCTAGATCTCCTTGAAGTTGGAGATGCCCTCTCATTGGTTGATATGGGCCATCATATCAACCAACGCGCTGACCAATGACCGATGGACGCGCGCAATGAGTGGAGGGCAAGTCGTCAACATACATAGTTGTAGTTTAATATAGTTAACATAGGTTATAACAGATTAGTTTTATTAGATAGCTAACTATATTAAATACAGTTTCCTTTTTCTCTACTTCTAAGCGTATCGTTTAGAAGTAAAGCTTCATCTACCTCTTGTGTAAGAGAGGTAATTGAGGCACCTGCTTTCACTGTAATCAGTGAAAGTAGACTATACTGTAATCAGTATAATCGGAGGGTGCCCCATTACACCTGGTAGCACTTCGCAGTCCGTTCAGCGACCACCGCACCATCCGCTATGGAATCAGCGGGTGTGAACGTCATCACGCAACGCGTGATGATTTCCGCCATTTGAGTGACCTCGAATGGAATGCGGTTCAGCGTATGGCTGAAACCATCGGCAACCCTGCCGTTGGTGCCATGTTGCTCTCTCTTAGCGGAGACGACCAACATGAAATCATCGCCAAGTTCATACAACATGAACTTGACGAAGCTGTAAAGAAACTCACCTTGCTAGAGACGCAAGGTTCTCAACAGGTTAACCTGTTGAGAGAACAAGGCGCTCAACAAGCTGACTTGTTGATGCAGCAGGGTGCTCAACAGTCTGAACTGTTGAGACAACAGCAGGCTAGTGCTGTTGCTGCCGGGTCGACGTATGCACGTCGACCCGAGTCCTTGAAGATTGATGTCTCCAAGTACAAGGCAGTCGAAAGCGACTCCTTGTTAAGATGGTTCGTCGAGCTCGACGATGCCATTGAGGCTCGTCGCATCGATGACGATGCGATGAAGGTCAAGTTCGCCATGTCGAACTTGGCAGGACGTGCCAAAGCTTGGGCCTTAGGGCTCAAACTGCACGACCCATACGTTTTCCCAACGTATGACGTCTTTAAGGCGCGGCTCAAACACACGTTTGAACCGCCTCGCGCCGAATTCAGGGCTCGGGCTGAGCTCCTGGATTTGAAACAAGGTAAGCGTGATATACACGCTTACGCCCAACACGTACGATACCTCGTTAGCTGTATCGTACTGAACCCAATCGATGAACACACGCAGGTTACTGTGTTCATCAAGGGTCTGACAGATGGTCCTGTTAAGACCCACCTGTTCCGCTTGGAACATAGAATCGCTGGATCAAGCGATCTCTGCAGCGGAACAGGAGGACTTTAGCCTAAACAACAGGCTCACGTCCACTCGGGGTCCTATCGTCCACCGAGACGACAGGAGGGCGGAGGTCCAGAACCAATGGACCTCTCCTATGTAGAGAGCGAGCGACCTCGCTCTCCAGGGTACAAGCGATTGCAAAAGTGCAATCGCTGTCAGAAGTTGGGCCACTACGCTTATGAGTGTAGTGCCCCACGCCCAGTGTCTCGTAACACTGGTAGTGACGATCGATCGTCTGCCAAGAAGGGCCAGAGACGTGGGTCCCACGTTGCTGCGAAATCGCAACAACGTGGTGGACCATCAAAAAAACGGTCGGGGTCAGTAGGGGCGGAGCGCCCTACTGATCCAGCAGCGTCAAGAGAGTTCGCGGGACTCTTGACGAGGGTTGCTCCCAACACACAGTCACTGTGTGTTGCCGCTCCTAGTGATGAGGTATCCCTCATCACCTTGAAGATCGAAGTGACAAAGAACATGTCACTTCGCGCCCTAGTTGATTGTGGGGCTTCGAACAACTTTGTTCGACGCCAATCGCTAGATGATCGTAGGCTCAAATATGTTGAGCGCGAGACCTCTCCAACGAGGATGACGGTGCGCCTTGCAACTGGCGCATTTGTTACCGTAAAGAAACGTGTAGTGGGAATTAACTACACGCTTGAAGGCAAAAAGTACGATGATGATTTCATCGTACTTGATCTGGATGACAAGTTTGATGTCATCCTAGGATTACCATGGCTCAGAAGGTACGAGCCATGGGTCAGCTGGCAGCATCGAACCGTGAAGATGCCTGCCGCTTGTTCATCAGATGGCCATCTGATGAACGTCTTGGAGCGTTCACAAGCGTGTGAATATACTACGAGTTTATGTGTGATGGCCTCACTTGTGGTTCGGTCGTTAGTACGACTGCACAAGAACTCAGCGTGACAGACAGTCACGCTGTGAAGCAAGCTGCCGGCGGCTGTGCACAAGCACAGGCAGCGCCGAAGGTACACCACTCGAATAAGTCGAGTGGACCGGGACATGAATGCTCGCCTAGAGGGCAGCATTCACCGAAGAGTAAACCGGTTGCCCAGTAGCGGCAACAAGGTAATCCTAGATCAACTGGAGAGTTAATCGTAGAGGATCTCGCTGTGGTTGCGCCACCACAGCTAGAGGAAGTAGATGTAACAAGTTCCATCGAGCCTGCGGGGATCAAGTTCCCAGGAAATAATCACTGAGGGAATAAGTCCCCAGTGCCCTGAGGAAATAAGTCCCCAGGAAGTAAGCGAGACGTTGAACTCAGTTGCCTACGCTAGAACCTAAAAGGTTCTGCGTGATCTGCGTAATGGCAAGGTCAAGCAGATCTGTTTGCTTGTCGCAGAGGACGAGTACATGACTGACATTCGGTCAGCAGCAATTTTTGCCGAGAACGAACGGGTTCTCAGCAGCTCATC